AAACATCCACACATACATACATACATACATACACACATACATACATACATACATACATACATACACACATACATACAAACAAACAAACAAACAAACAAATATATTCATTCTCTTCTGAGAATGTTCAGTCAGAAAACATGATGAAAATTATTTGATTTCACAACATACGGGCAGATTTAACCATAGTTTCAATTGGGAAAATGTGACAATCCTAGACCAGGCCAAGTCCAAAACTGCCAGAGAGTTTCTAGAAATCTGGAACTCTGACAAATCAGCCATCAAAAGACACATTAATGTCTAATTAATAACATCTATAGATTATGCAAAAGAGACAATCAACCAGCCCAAAAGAGAAAAGGACTCCAGCACTTCTCCACCAGCAATCAGCACCCAGATCAGCATAGATTAACTGAAGTTAATTCCAAGGTTAACTTCAGAGCAACAATCAAGTAAGCAATACCCCAATCTAGAAATGGCCAAAGAACCAAGAGTAAACAGTCCAACCAAACAATCTCTAAAACCAATCCCACCAACACTGACAGGCAAGCTATCAGAATATAAGCAAACAGCACTCCTTACTAGCACTGATGATGTTATCTAATTAGGGTAATGAAACGTCTGCAAGAAAACAAGCAAGCACGAAGGACCCCTCATTTCAACCCTGAGCTACAAATATTCTCCTTTATTGGTTTACAAAATTTACATCATCATGCTGGAGAATTTTTTCAACATTATGGTCATAGCAATACTTTGGGGGTCATCAAATCTATGTGTTTTAAATAAATTATAATATACCATATTTTTATATGTGGTCATATCTGGGGAATTTTCCTTCAACTGCTTATTAGATGGTTCTCATCTTCCTCTTTGCATAATCTATGTTTTCTGCTGTTTCAACTTTTTTTTTAATCTTTGTTTTCATGGCATTTTTTGCTAGAACTTGTTCCTGTGCTGCAAATATTAATCCTTCTTGAAGGATATAACCTGAATTCATTTCCAAGTTTTGTTACTGTTCACTTTGTGTTTGTGTTTCACATATTGACGATGAAATATTGATTTATCTTTCCAATGTTTCATTTTCTGTTACTGTGTAACTGTTCAATTTTGTACCCCATATTTGATTCTGCCACATTTAAAATATTTTCTGTTAGGTAGTTATTAATATCTTCTCTTTGCTTACTTGTATATAATCATTTAGAACTCTGTTTTCATCCTCTACACTCTGCTTCATTTGCAACAACCAGGATCATTTGTTTTCTTTGCAAATACAAACAATCTACTGTATATTGTTTGGGGGAATGTAGTGCATAACATTTGACCACTATAAGCTTTTTCACTTTCTATCTAGTCAATAATACCTGCTGTATAATATATTACAGGGACCAAGTATTAATAGTTTTGATTGTAATTCTATTTCATGATAAACATTCACTTGTATCCTGCCTTATGAAGGTTTAAAAGACAGCAGAAGAAGTGGAGATATTTACCCCCCAAAATCATTTTATGACAAGTTGTTCTTGAAAAGCCCTAGTGGAGAGATTGTGTGCTTTATAGTATCATACGATAAGTAGATAATATTTAGAACAGGCTACATTTCTCATGCTTGGGAAGATGGGATCAATACACCAACAATTAGATGAACTTTGAGGAATAAAGCAGCTAAGAATAAAAATTAAATTAAAAGTGGGATTTCATTGTGTACATATATATATATATATACACACACACACACACACACACACATACACACACACACACACACATATATATATATACACACAC